AAATTATTAGAATAATACTTAATTTTAAATAAGTATGTCTGTGTACAAGTAGTTATGTATACTACTCAACTATTGACATGTTCTTATATTTGTGATACATTTGAAAAATTTATATTGAGAAACTAAATTCACTGAACATAATACTTATTTATCGTGTCAATATTACCATCAAAAAACAATTAATTCAGTAATAACACGATTCTTCTAGTAAAATACAATATATAAGTCCTATATTTGATCAAATGTAGAAAACTCTAGAAAGCAGTCACTTTTGAACCAGAGGCATTACACAACAAATTCAACATAATATAGGACGCATCTTGGTTTTTCTTCTTTAGTGGTCTGAATTTCATCAGAATAGTTTGATTATGACATATATATATATTTTTTTAAAATATTAAAAAGATCCAAAAATTCCAAAGAAAAAAGTGGAAAATATTGCAGAATATATTGAAATTTAAAAAGAATGCTGTCTCATGCTACCGAAAATACTTCATCAAACATTTTATTGAGAAAAGTTTGAAATTATAAGAAGTAAGATTGATTATCGAGGACATTTTTATCCTAAGGCTTGAGGTAAAAATTAATTTATGTTCGTTGTTGCCCTCTTATGACATATTGGGTATGTTTAACTGGGTACATGATAAGTGATAACAAGACAATTTTGTGGCACGGCTTCCTTTTGAATATGATTGGCGTAGTGAAAGTTATTTTTAAGTAATTTCTTGTTTCCAAGTATGCTCGGATGACTATTACTTTCAAAATAAGCAACATGTGTATTTCCAGTTTTAAGTATAAAAAGATTTTTTGTCTTAAAACTCATTTATTTACTTAGAAGTAAATTTTTAAGCTTAGAAACAAACATGCCTTTACAATTATTGCACAAGTAGAAAATTTGAGACCCTCATTCTCATAACACTTTAGAACACATTTTTATTCTGGTCCTAGAAATTCGGGACTTCACTTTTGTCAACCTGAGGCAGACACATAACCGGCCTATTGTATGCAATGAATGGGTATGGACCATTCATACACATTATGATTTGAACTCTTAGGTCACAGTATCAATTTGGTTCAATCCTTATATAATTACAAAATAGTTGTATTCATTGTCCTGTACGTTGAGTGGGACATTCATACATTAGAGCAATGGATATATCAACTGATAAATTTTGTACAACACCTTTTTTAAAGCATTTAATTTTGCCCGATACAATTTAGAAAATATGTTTGGATTATTTCATTTCAATCTTGCTTCTTATTTGGATATAACTGGGTAATTTCAAAATTGACGACTATAAAATATAGGACTAGTTCAGTAGTGATTATGAGAATTGATTTTTTTTTTTTATCGTTAGAAAAAAAGTGGATCCCACATGTAAAAGAAGAAGTCAAAAATTTTGCAACAATATAAAAGTGTAGGGGAAGATTTGAACATTTTACAAACTTCAAATACCAATTTGCATCACTCAAATACTTAAAGGACCAGTATATTCAATAGAAATTTCAGAGACTGAAATGAAACAATCAAAAATTTCTTGGACTCTTTTACCAAATTTTGTAACTTCAGGGAACAACCTGCACATCACAGAAACTTCAGGGGAAATTTTGCTAGTCATAGTAAATGCAGGGGAAAAATGCTTATTGCTAAAAAGTTTAGGGATTTGTTCGTCCGACCTTTGATAAGGGTTGTTTGGCTATTGTGACAGTCTATTTTAAACAAAACATCGAACACTTCAAGAGCTTTCTAGTCAAAACTAGACCCAATTTTTAGAGGATGTTGTCACCAACATTAGGGTTTGAAAAAGCATACACGTCTTCAATGAACTAAGACAACGAGGTCAATGTTGAAGACAATGTCAAGAAGAATACATGATGACATGAATATCATTGGCCATGGCGAGTAATGTGTGCGAAAATTTTCCTAAAAGTTTATGAGAGCTTTGAAAAGTTCACGAGCTTCTGAGCGTTTATGAGAGTTTTCAAAAAGTTTCAGTTTTTGAAATGTGTACAAAATGGAAATGCTATTAAAATAGAAAAATAGAAGATTATTTCTAGTTTTCAAATTTTTGAAAAGTTTCAACGTGTACACAAAATGGAAATGCTAATTGTTTAAAATATTCAATGTTACCTAAATAAAATTTTTGAAGTTCATAGTTTGTAGATCTAATCGGACATTGACTTGGTTGAGTTATTGAGCCCCCGTTTGACCCCCATTATCTGAAAATGAAAATGGGGGGAATAGTATTTTTTAGAAAAATGAGTGGTTGAAAAAGAAGGAAAAGTTTTCGATTTACGTGTAATATTATTTTATGGAAGATTGTGTGGTTAAAAATAGGAGAGAGAAAAATGAAATGTAATGTAATTGAATTTAATGAGGATCAAACGGGAGCTGAGTCTCGAGTTATTGTTTAAACTGGCAGGTTAGTATTCGGGTTGATAGATCAATGGTTGGTTAAACTAGTAACTCGAGACTCATTACCTTAGTAGGGTTGATGCCCGGGTCAAATATAGACCCTGTTTGAGCCCCTTTTTTGCACAAAATAAGGAAAATTTTGCTTATAATATTATTTTTTTAAAGAATGTGTGATTAAAAATAAGAGGGAAAATGTATTTTGAAAATAATGGAGATTAAGCAAGGGCTTAATAAGTATGATTACGAGTTTTCAAAAAGGGTAATTAGCACAAAATGTCATCACCTTTCAATGTTATTGTGCAAAACGTCTATTTGGCATTTTTACCCATATTTTTACTTTTTATTGCGGAAAACATCATTTTTACCAATTTTTAATGTAACTAGTGAGGAAATGTACGTTGCACGTTAGTTGGGTGAATGTAAAATATAAGTGTGTGCTGGTTGTCGATGGATATATATATGACAAATGTATTGGTGTAACTATATGTGTATTGGTGTAATGTAGCAGAATAGTTTTGAAGAAGATGAATGTTATGTTTTAGTTAGGAAACCTTGCGGCATTTTTGAATTGTAAAGAGAGGAAAAAGTGCAATTTCTATGAAAACCTTTTTGAGATAATTAACTAGAGAAAGTGAAATGGATGAACACAAAAATCAAATATTTTTGGTACACACGAATATAATTACAAGTAAAAAAGTCTCATAGACGTGTCAAAATTCCATCAGTTTGGTCTTTTTTGTGGACCTTAAATATCAAGGATTCGTTATTTAATAGTTCAAACACACATTTATCGCCGATACATAGTTCTTTTTCTCTTAGAAAATCTGCCCAACCTACAGTAAGACGTCGTATTACACCGTTTCATCTTAAATTTGTGGTAATATCCCAGTTGTGATGTAAATAATCATGGATTTGAACATTGCGCACATGTTTTGGCAGATGGTATCTTACGAACCTTCTTGGTATTCACTGAAAAATCATGGATGAAAGATTTATTAATCTTAAATTAAAATTATGTGGAAGAGGTAAATATAGAATAAAGCATTAAAGATAACACCTACAATTTTCTGATAGCTATTGTAATTACGTGTTAGTGTTATGTCGAATACGAGATCATCTGAATGTGAAGCGTCCTCGTCCTCTTCTTCAAGAATATCGGAGTCACATGTGATCTCCGATCCAGAATGATCAAATATCGTCATATTGAATGTGGAATTTTCATTATATTCAAATACCAGAACATAACCATCCTATAAGTTATGATGGTCTAAAAATTGCTCCTATCCATTAGGTAGATATATTTTTCTATCGATTCTTTCTAATCGTATTGTGACAATTATACCATCATATGCAGTTAACCGTACTGTATCACCTAGTTCGTGTCTCCAGTAATTGACAAAAGATCTAGAAAGCATCTATATATATACATATGAAAAAATATAAGCGATATATTAATAAAACATTTATAAAAAC